TAATGCCTGATTCGGCTCGTTAGCGTTGCATCGAATCGGGCGCTAAAAGGTAAATATCATTTATCAATCAGCTCGGGCGGCTTGCGTAACACAGTGGGAATATTAGATAATTTGCCAAAGGAGCATTAATAATGATATTGGGACGAGTGTGCGCAGAGCCTTGACGTTCGACTGTCCTGCGGACCCCAATAACTGGCCCAAGGACCCAAGCGGATGCAAGCTAAAAAGAAATTGCGACGTCTTAAACGAAAAGCTTCAAACTTTCGGACGGCCAAGAGCACGGCAACATATTTTCGTACTCTATAAATTATGCGCATAACCAAGAAGGAAGAGACTGAAAAGTGAGACTGGGTCCACCCTAAAACCAAAGCCAAAGGGCGGCTTATATGTAAAGCAACTAAACATGGATACTGCACAGACAAAGACACACACACACACACATAGACGAGATGTGCTTATATGTGGCAAAAGAAGAAATCAACTAACCAAGCAGAACTATTACAATGGCAAAAAGTTTAACGAGTCATGTGAAAGTCTGTGGGGACCTCTGATAGCCATCCCTGGCAAAAATCTGAGACAAGGCAGCAGCCAGCAGTCGTTGGGTGCGAAATTTACTTTTATTGCTCAGTGTCGTCTCTGTAGCTAGTGCGATGTACATATGTAATATGCCTAGGCTTAACCACAGCATTTGATAAGGCAGCAGCAACACGACAGACCTGATCCCGCTCCTGCTGCTGCTCCTGCTCCTGCTGCTGTTTGCAAGGTAACCAGATAGCCTGCCTCTGGGAGCTGCTCTGCTTGGCTGCTTTGTTTGTTAGTTATGGGCCTTAAAACTTGTCACACTTGTCAAACAAACTTGCAAAATGTCTGCTCCTTTAGAGCGTCGCAAATGACTGACAAAAGCAACCGCAAAAAAGCTCGAGCAAGCTGGGGCTGCTCCACTTGCAGATACCCGTATTCCCCAAATCGTAGAGGTCCATAATATGTAATTGCTTTCATTATAGAATATCGATAATTATCGATAACTTCACACATCTGATTTTCAGTGTTCTTTACACCAGTTTCTATTTTGCTCCCTACTGATTATTTTTTCAACTCTAGCTCCAGCGAAAGGTCGCACAATAACATGCTAATGAGCAGACTCACATAGATAGCCGCCAGGTGGCGCTTTTCCAGTTTTGGCGAAACTTGCGCGTTGGAGTGCAGCCACTACGCCAACTCCTCTCGCAGGCATCTCGGCTTGCATTTGGCAGCCGCTTTTTGTGCCTCTTCTGCAAACTTCCCCAGGATTTGTAAGCGAATGTGTGAAGGAGTAAAAAATGGGCGATTCAAGCTGGGATTTTTGCTGCTGGCGCTCAGTTGTTCCAGCAAACATTTAGACCACAAAAAATGCGGGGAGGGTAAAAAATGCGCCATGAGAAAAAACCAACATTTTGTTAGTTGCATAAATTTGGCTACAGTTGTTTGTTATTTTTTGTTGTTATGTTGGACCCGCTTGTTTCGCAGTCCCTGATAACAGACGGCGTCTCCAAAGCGTCGTCGTGGGAGCAACTTGCGCGAAACGGCGCCAGTTTAGATACAGCTGAAAGCTGCAGCGAGATAAATCTGTGGCCGGACCCAGGGAGGAGGAGGGAGGCTGCCAAGCCAATAACTGTTAGGGACCAGGGCTTAACTAAAGTTTACTTGAAGACTCGCTCAGTTCAATGGACTTCGCCGGCATGAATCACTCTTAGTCCCCACCTTGCGGCGGAGCACTCAAAACTTAATCGCAATCTTTGAAGCACATAACTTGAACACAGGCTCATAATGTGGTAAGGATACACACACACACACACAGATATACACAGAGGACAGCTGTACACAGAACCTTCTTACATTGCACACCCCCATTTATATCTCTATTTACAATTTATGCGCCACGTGAAGGTAAATAAAGTTGCAACAAGCGGAGCTCACGCGACGACCGTAGGGTCTATCTGCCTCTGCTGCACTCGTTGGCTGGTGGGTAGGTGGGTTGGTTGGTTGGTTGGTTGGTTGGTTGGTGGCTTGGTTTGCCATACAAATCCCAAAACCATTTCACTAATTGAAATGAATTTTCATATACGACGACGAGAAAATGTCGAGAAGCGCAACGTTGACGTACTGAGCGTGCTGTACGTGTGATGTGGATGTGGATGTGAGTGTGAGTGAGAGTGCCAAGGTGTGTGTGATAGTGTGATAGTGTGTATGTGTGTGTGTGTGGGTGGGTGGTTGTTTGTTTACGAGACACTTTCGTGTCGCTGTACAAAATTGCAATGACCTAAGGCAACGGGAAAATCGTTGGGCTTCGCTGGGCAAATGAAAACGTTGCAGTTGAATGACTTTGCTCTTCAAATAACTCTTTAAGGAAATGGCTCTTTAAAGAACGTAAAGCAAGCAGCGAAGCTGGCAAAGCAAATACCGAAATATCTCCAATTATAGCTGTTCACTATTAGCATTTGGCTAAAGAGATTTGTGGGAGAAGTACACTCGAAAATTGTCTCCAGCCGGCAGGAAACTTTCTCGCAAAAGAACAACAAAACAAATAACCCACTCGACATGTCTCAAGTTGGAGAAAGTCTTGGTCGCTGCGCAAATGCAGCGGCATTTCCACACATTCTTTTCATTTGTGCTTTCTTTTCTACATAATTAATATAGAATTATGCAACCCGCTCGCCTAGCTGCAGCGACTTCAGAGTGGTCCGGCCCGAGTGCCAGCTTCCCAAGCAGATTTTCAAGTTCATAATTATGTGGCAGGCCCTATTGCTCGTAGTCAGGGGCTAAATGCATTTCTCACGTCGACAGTTTTAATAGATGCATGTATATGTGGATATACACATTCTTCTTCTTCTATTTATTCTCAATGCGAGAGTCGCAGCGGAGAATGCACAAAAGATGGCAGCCCAGTCCAGCACGAGGTAGGACGGCTCCTGTCCGCATTTCCCACAACGGAAGTCATCATACTTGCGCTTGTTTACATTCTGCTTCGGCTTTCGTTGCTGCTGTTGCTGCTGCTGCTGCTGCTCCTCCTCCTCCTGCTGCTGCTGCTCCTGCTGCGTAACATGTAATGAGACTGGCTGGCTGGCTGACAATGTTGCCTTTTGAAAGGCGTTGAGCGTGGCGTGTAAACGCAAAATGGTGACAAAGCTCGCCTGCAGGGGACTCTGCTGACTATGTGTGTGTGTGTGTGTGCATGCGTGTGTGAGAAGCTATTCTAAGGCATTTGCTTGGCTTTTTTTTTTTTTTGTCGGCAGCGCTGGGGTAACATTATTTTAATTAACATATTTATATGTGGAAGGGCTCTGGGCAACAAAAGCGACAGCCGCATCACTCGAGCTGCTCTGGGTGCGCACGTGTGTGCATGTGTGTGTGTGTGTGTGTATGCATTGCAATTTTAATTACATAGACGCGACGACTTAAACAACAAGCCAACATATACAGCATAGAGAATGCATTATGTTGCCATATGAAATCATTAAAAACTGTTTGCAGAGCCGAAGCGAAATCATTAAAAGCATATAAATTATGCACGCTGATAGCGAGCGCCAGATTGCCAGCCTGCCACGCCCACGCGCAGGTTCATAATACTAAAATGATGAAATGCCAGTCCGCATAATTATGAGGCAGAAAAATGCCACAACTGCAGCGACGATGACGGCCGAACAGAAATTGTTTTGCTAATGTTTAGCGCGCCTCTACCTCCAGCCTCTACCTCTGCTTCCGTTTGTTGCATACTTTTCCCGGGTGGCGTTTGACTGCGATGCGCTGAAAAGGGTTCAAGAACAGACTGAGACGGCGCCGATGGCGGGGGCTCAGTTATTTCATATGCGCCACCTAAAAGTATGCCTTAAGAAATTGCGAAACTTGTCTCGCCCTAATGAAGAGCCGTCTGCTCCTGCAGCAGTACATTTCGCCCAGGTATTTCGGGCTAAAAATGCCTCAGAGAGAGAGGAATGCGAAGGGCTGTTGCCCTCCCTCCCCGCCGCCTTCTGCAAATTGTTGAGTGCGTAAAAAGGTAAAGCACTTTGTTTGGCAGCTAACTGCGCCCCTGCTCCCCCACCATATAGACATACTCGCATATATTTCGCCGTCTTGCCTCGCACCTGCAGGTGTATTCACACACCGACCGCACTCGGCGCCCATAAATCCTCGGCAATCGCGCTCAAAAATCAAAAGATACCACCGGATAGGGAGACAGGCGAACATAAAATGCCAATTTCTAGTTGCCAAATGGTTATTGCCACAACAGCAGGGAGCAGAGGCTACGAAAGTAACAAATTTACCACACACCGATACATGCAGAGATCGGCCATTGCATTTACCTATATCCTGCGCACACACACTAACACACACACATACACACACACACAGTGCCTTATCCGCGGTCACTGCAGCAGGTAAAGCTAAGTGGAGCACAAAAATAAAAACGGCAACCAGAAGGCAATTTGTTGCGCCATGGCAGGCGAGCGAGTGACCGACTTGCAGATACCCTAGACGAGCAGTGGAGTTGGCTTGCTGCTGGGACTAAATGAATTTTGCTTGGCTCTGCACTTTATTGTTTTTAGCACTATATAAAATTAATAAATGTGCGTAACATGCGACTGGGTAAGTGCATAGAAAGAAAGAGACCGAGAGAGAGAGAGAGAGAGAGGAGGGAGTGAGCAGCATGCAGATATTTATTCATTGCAGTCGGTCTGATAAAAGCTGGACAAGAAGGGCAGAAGCACAGCACTTAGAAGGCATAAAATTTATAAATTACTATGCTGCGCCATAATAAATTTCAGTTTGCGTAAAAACGCAAAATTTATATACACCATGCAGCATAGTGTGTGGGGATGGACTCGACTGGGCTGTGAGTGGACTGAAAAACCCATTATGAATGAATTTAGTAGCAGCAGAGGCAGCAGAGGCAGCAACGGCAGCAGAGGCAGCAACAGCAGCAGCAGCAGCAGAGGAAGAAGCAGCAGCAGCAGCAGCAGCACAAAAACCAAAACGTGCTAGCACATTTCGTCGTATTTATACAAATTTAAAGCATTCACCCAGCAGGCGGCGGGTGGGTGAGTACTCAAAATTTACGAGTATTTCCATGGCTGCCAGCGACGATAAACCAAACCAGTCGAAAGCAATAACGACGAGCCAATGCCAATAGACAGCGGACAGCGGACAGCGGACGGCGGACGACCGCAAAGGACTAAACATGACTAGACTACTTGTGCACTATAGAGCATCGGCTGGAAGCTAGTTGAAGGACACACACAGCCGGATGCCGCTCGCCCAGTCGCTAGACAAAGGGGGCGTGCCCGGCGTAGGCAGCACGGCCGTCCAGTTGCCAGTTGGCAGTTGGCAGTTGCCAGTTGCCAGTTGCCAGTTGCCGGTGTCTGGCCTTTGGCCGCCTCTGCTGTTTGGTCTGTGTCCAGGCCGGTCAATGACAGCTAAAGTTTTTCAAACTAACCTCGAAACGATAAAAAATTAAAGCAACAGTAAATGAGAGACGCGCAGACAGAGCAGGCGGACGAGGCAGACGGAACAGCGCTGGCCGGAGGAGCAGGCAGAGGATTCTGAGGAGGGGCCAAGAGCATTTACTGCAACAAAATGCCGCAATGGGCTGTTATTATAATGAAAACGAAGCACAGAACCTGCCGCAGTAAAAACGGCAATGAGTAGTTGCTTTTGTGGCAAGCGGAGCACCCCTAACGGTGCATAGCCAACGTCAAGTTGCCATTAATTTTCAAGTGCAATGTCTGTATTCGTATGCCTCTTCCCTCGGTCCCCCTCCCCTCAGCCTATGGCTCTCAATACACTCGTCGCGATATGCAAAGAAGGCGCACAAAAGTATGCTATAAAATTAGTTGATTTACAGAGGGAAAACGAAAAACAGCTCAAAATAATTTCTCGTTTGCCTGCCTTTACCCCGTGATACGGAAAACTTTAAATGCAGGCCAGAGGCATTCAACAATGTCAGAAGTAAGTGACAATGGGAGCAGACTTTAAGTTTCTACATATACACACACATTGAAACTATCTCTTCCAGTGACAGCCTTAAAGCTTTAAACGGCATTGTTCTGCGCTCTTTCAGCGTGTTCAAGACTGTAAAACACGTCCGGAATTGGGTGAATCACGGCGGAGCGGCCAACGGGCCAGCATCACCCTATCAATATGTTGACTTTTGTTCAACTGTTTTATTTAATTTCGTTGCTTTTTTTACCTTGCTTTTTGGACGAAAACTCGACCGTGCGCTACAGCAATTTATGAAATTTCCCTCGCATATATGCATATATACATATGCATATATACCCTATATATATATTTGTATAGTACAAATATATTTTTTAACTCTTTCCCCAAAGTTATATGTCGCTTTCTGAAACCTCGTCTGTGTGTGTGTCTGTGTGTGTGTGTGTGTGTGAGTAGTACCAATCGCACCGAATTCACTTTTTTTCGTATTTCCAAATGGTGCATAAGCATTTTTTCATGTTCGGCCAAATAAAAAATGGAGAAAGCAAATAAAAGCATCTGGAGTCCGGAAAAATTTGAAACTATGGCAATATATGGACGAGCTTTATGCAGAGTATTGTATATGCAGTTCAGATATCCTGCATTCAATGGAACTGGGCCCTCAAACACCTTTAGAATATACTGCAGCCTCAGTCTCATGATTAGTTTTGGGATCGAGCTGAGCGAGAATTGTGAACCTCTATTGAGGAATCACTGGTAACAGGGTAACTACTCGTCGATCAGCGAGGACTCAAGACTTTCGTCTGTTTATTTTTGCATGCATATCAAGTGAGGCAAAATATTTTATGGCCGTTCACTTAGCCTCTCCAGCCACAACTCTCCTCCGCACAGTCATCGAATGCAACTCGGATTCAACTTTTGCTCCTGGGCTGGGCCTCGGCGCTTTTCTCCAAATGGGTGCCAAAAGTCAACAAATAATATTTTTGCATAAAAATCGTCACTGAAATGAAAATATTCGGATGCAACCATGCAAATGGCATGGATAGTCGACGTAGGCTTAAAAGCCCGACAAACCAAACAGGCCCTACATATATGTGTGTGTGTCTGTGTGTGTGTATGTGTGTGTGTGGGAGAGGGAAATCTCAATTTGCACAAAATTTAATCAATATATGCCTGCTGCACCACTATGGCTATGCTCTATGCGAGCTGCAACCTCTGCGCCGAGTTCATTGTGGGCTGCTTATAAATTTATGCACATATGCAAATAGAATTTTCAAAATTGTCATTTAATTGCACTTTAGACAGCACCAAGGCCCAAAAATGATATGCAAAATGCGAACGGCGCTTCACTCTGTTCAATATTAATGCGTTTCATTCAAGGACCTGCAGCCATTGTGCAATGCTCTTTAAAGGCTTTAACTAGCGCCAGTCCGAGTTTCACATTACGATTACGAAAGCAACTGAGACAATGTGAAACAAAGCAAAAAGCAAAATGAGAGCCGAAAAGAGAAATGAGAGAACAGAAATTTAATGGGACGCAGCGAATTCTAGATAAAGCTTGGCACACATACAAAGCACACACACGCAAAGGGTGTGGGAGCGAGGAGAGCGGGAGGGGAGCGGGAGAGGAGCTTGCATGTGAAAGAGTCAACAAAAGGCGGTATTCAACAAAAACACAAATACACGCACGCGTAAGCAAACTGCCCAACAGCCAGAAAGTATGGTTTACAACTGTATAGCACACACATGCATACATAACAATACACACACACACACACACACACACACACACACACACACACACACACACACGCACACGCACAGTGGAGTGTATGTTGTTCTGTTTCTCATCTTGCGTGTTACTTTTACTCACATTTCCAGCAGCTTTTTGTGAATTCCATCAAAGCCAATTGTCCTGCATATCTCTCTCTCTACCTCTCTCTCTCTCTCTCTCTCTCTATCTATCTCTATCTCCCTGTCTCTCTTTCGCTCTCTAGCTATCACTGTGTGCGCTTATCACAATTTATTATCACATATTTTGGAAAACGTTTAACCATTATCAAAACCCTTGCCTAAGCGACAACAGTTAAATGCAGCGCAGTTTAAGCCATTTTATCTCCCGCCCCAGCCTCAGCTTTGAATTTCGCCCTTCAAGCGGCATGTGTGTGAGTGTGTGTGTGTGTACATAAATGTGCGCCAAAAAGGCATTCGCATTTATTTGCTAGAATTTGGATTTTTTTTCCTTTTTGTTTTCCTTTTTTTTTCTATCGTAGGCCCCTGCGGCCGTTTGGCATTTCGTTTTTTTTCTCTGTTCGTTTGTTTAGTGCAGGGCACTTGTTGTTGTGGTTGTTGTTGTTGTCGACTATTTTCACTCCACTTTCGAATGTTTTTATCCCTAAAGTCTGCTTGCGGATATGCACACATACACAATCCAGCACACACACACACTCACATACACCGTAGGAATATTGAGAAAAAAGATTGTTGGAAAAACAATAAATGGCAAATGTATTGCGGCATTTTAGGCGCATGGCGTAAAACAAAAGACCTGCAAATTTTGCAAAATGCTGTTGGCCTCTGCCCATTTTCTCTCTCTCTCGCTCTCTCTCACTCTTTCGCTGCCTCACAGGTTTTAGTTTTCATGTTTTGCATTTTTAGAGCAATATGGCAAATGGAATTTTTCGTGCACGTCGCGCGCTAAACATTTAAGTGAGCCAAGTGGCTTTTTGCAAGCGGGGGCGACGATTTGCATATGGCTTTCGTTTCAAAATGGCCAACATATACACATGCATACATACATACACACGGGATGAAGTGCATCTGTAAAATACTCACTTAGATTTCCACTAGGAATGTAAACGTTGCCCGATGGCGTCCGCACCAAACACGATGGCTCAAAGTCAACGCCCAGATCATTGGGATTGTTAGCAACAGCGCCGGCAATTAAACGAGCATTATTCATGCGGCTCATTGTCGGATTACGTGGCGGAACATCCGGTGGTGCTGTTGGCGTGACTCCCTCCAGGAGAAAGCCTGCAAATAGTGACAGAGAAGGACATATGTGTGAGAGAGAGTGAGTGCCATGTGAATCGTAGCTGGTGACTGTAAAAGCATTTTGATTTCTTTACGCGCTCGATTCATAAAATATTCATCGAGAGCCGAAACACAAGCAAACAGACGGGCAAATCCATAATAAATATATTTTCACTTTATATACCCTGCACAGGCAGCAAGCGGGTGTGCCCGACGTGCGCCCTGCCCTCCAGCAGGGCATCCTGCTAGTCGAGTAAGCTCGATTAGGCAGCTCTTGTGTCATTCTGTATTTTTTACTGTACTTTTGACATTAAAGTTCAGATCCGTAAATTTTTAAACAACAGCAAATGGAATTTGTGGGTGGGGTGGTGGTGTGAGGTGGGGGTTGCATGCCAGCCTCAGCTCCTGCTGCCGGGGCATGCAATCAGTGAGCATTGAGAGCCGAAAATCAGGCAGAAATAAAAATGAAATTATTTAGCAGCATTGAAAATTCAATTTGTTGCTGGGCGGAGCCAGACAAACAGCGTTCGAAAATACTCACAAACACACACACACACGCACACACATAGCCACATGGATGTAGAGCAATGTGTCTTCGGCATAGAGCGAATTGCCTAGCGAAAGGCAATTCGAGAATCAAAAGCAGGACACCGCTGTCTCTCCAAGAAAGAAATCGAAATAAATTCAATTTGCTGCTTTGGAAAATTTGAATGTCGCCGACAACAGCTTCCAGGAGGCAGCATCAGCATCAAATGCCTTTGATAAGCGCATGCACATACTTAAAACACGCACACACACACACCCACACATCCAGACATTCAGAAGCATAAGCAATACACATAAATAAGAAGGTATTCAGCTGAGTGTGTGCGCGGTAACACTCCGAGTGTGGAGGGTGAGGGGGGGGGAGGGAGGGGAGAGCAGAGCGCGCGCCAGGATCCATATAATAAATTTCAAAAGCATTCGCATTCAGTCGCATAGAAAATTTTAAGCTCATTTATAGGCTTAAAATGCGCGGCGATGTGGCGATGGGGCGATGGGGGCGAAGTGGCGCGGGGCGTACAGCGGGCTAAGCAGGATTCTCGACAAATTTAAATGCCAAAAAAACAACAAAATCATAAAAAGCAAACGGCAAACGGAAACGCCTCAGGCCAATGCCAGAAATTTCGAAATTGTTGAGATTTGCTTAGCGCGAAAATTATATCCTGCCCAGGCGTAGCGCCCATTCAAGAGCCTCGCAGCTGGCAGGCTGGGATGCCATCAAGGACTGTTGACAGTGTGCCCAGCATCCTTCAGCCGGTTCCTCTCTCTCTCTCTCTCTCTCTCTTGCTCTCTACTGCGGTCAAATGACTAGAGGACCAGGCAAGTGACCAGCTCTCCCAGGCAGTGGGAAATTTAAGCTGCGGAAAATATGACACCAGCTTGGGCTGCGGCCTGAATGGCCGTGGGGCTGGCGCATTATCATTCTAATGAAACGCGCCCGACGGGTCGCTCTGCAGGAGCTGGCAGAGTGCTGCCTGACTGCTGCCAGCAAAGATTATTTCACGCGGTTAGACACAGTAGCAAAGTTGGCCGCAAATTTTTCAACGGCAGCCGAACAAATTCGAAATTCGAAATGGCTGAGACGGAGCAGGACGAGGCACGAGGCGCGACTCATCCTCTGGCAGGGCTTTGTCGGTCAGCTGTGATTAAAGGGGGCGGGGCTGGGAGGCGTTGGCTAAATATATTCGTGGGCTTTTGTCTTTGGCTTGTGTGTAATTAGATTTGAGATTTAAAGCGCTTAACACTGATGAGCAGCAAATTGAAATTGCCAGCAGCTGACAGCCGCCGCGCATGGGGCGTATGCGCAATGTCGCCAGCACAGCGCATTGAAAACTAAAAAGTGGGCAGCCTTTGCCCGCTCGATAGAGGCGGCGCTCTAATGGCAGCTGCTGTGCCAACATAATCCAAACAGAAAGTTGAGCATTCTGCTCGAGCCACAGCGCTCGAGTTGCATTTCAGACAAATTATTTAGCCATCAAGCGCAAAAGTTAAGCTTCATTCTTAGCATTTGCATACACAGACGATAACGTTATTTAAATACACATCCCAGAGGGGGGGAGTGAGAGGGGAGTTGAGGTTGAGGTAGATTGTGGCTGCTACATGCACATTAGTTTAATATTAAACACCGAGTGGCAAAATGTCAATTGTGGTTGCTCCCTTAACTTCCCATCTCCCAGGGCTGTTGCCAGCGGTTTAGCAAAGCAGCCAAAGGACCCCCCAAAAAAGAGAGAGAGAGAGAGAGAGAAAAAAAGAGCAGCTGGCGACAATGGCAGCTCTGGCGGCCAAACAAAAGTTGCTGCAATGGTCGCCGCTCGCTTTGGCCGTTAGCATCCGCAGCCAGACAGGCGTAAGAGCAGCCAGGAGGAGCAGTCAATGTGAAAGCGCATCCAGCAGGAGTAGTAACAGCAGCAGCAGGAGTAGTAACAGCAACAACAACAACGACAACAACAGAGCAGGCAATGGCGCTGATAAGCAGCTTATCTTCATTTCTACAACCTCCAGCGTTTATTTTTGTGTGGGCGTTGTTTGTTTGTTTGTTGTTGCTGCTGTTGTTGTTGTTATTGTTGTTGTTGGCATTGTCGTTGTCATTTTGAATGCGAATTGTCGTCGTTGTCGTCATCTATGTTGCTGTTGTTGCTGTTGCTGTTGCTGCTTTCTGGGTACGCAAAATGTGTAATGGCATTTCGTCAGGCGAAGCATGAAAAGCGACAACACACACACACACCCACACACATACACTCACACAGACAAGGATGCTACAAATGCCAATGGAAACGTATGTGTGTGTGTGAGTGTGTTTGTGTGTGGCAAAGCAAATTTACCCCGCTGCGTCTTTTTGGTGCTATAGCTGTTGGCTCCGCTCCTGCTCCTGCTCCTGCTCCTGGAGCCATCTCAACTGCTGGCTCCTGCACCGCTGATGGCCTTTGTGGTGGGTGGCGCAGCTTAATGCTTTTATAATGCATTCAACAACAAATGAAAATGAGCACAGCAAATGGCAAAAGTATTTACATTTGCAGCTCCTCAATGGAGCGCCCCGACTCCTGCTGCTGTTAGCCTCGTAGCCCAACTAACTAACCAAGTAAGTAGCCCAGCTGCAGCTGCAAAGACTTGAGCAGCGCCCAAAACTATATTACGGTAATTCAATTAAAAGCGTCTCAGGACGGGCTGGGGCAGGCTGGAAACGAAAAACGACACCAGGCGCTTGCGGCATGCCAGGAATGAACACGGCAGAGGAGGGGACGAGGGGGGCTGGTCATGCCAATGTGCCTGCTCGTGCCAAGGTGCCAACAGCAGGAGCAGCAGAAACAATAACAACGTCATCAGCATTCTGCTGTCCGCCTTCATCTTTGCCTGCTTCATTCGTGCGTCCCGACGTGGAGAGAAATGTAAAACACTTTTGGTATGACAGCTGAAATGTCAGTTAAGCATGAATTGCCTCAGTCTCTGCCAGCGCTGAGGCAGGCGTAATCAAATTGTGTCTGCGCTTTTTCGTTTTCCACTGGCTCCAGGTGGGCTAGGTGCGCCCGGCATGCCAGGTGGCTGAGGTGGCTGAGCTGGCTGGCTGAGCTGGCTGGGGCGGGCACCCGCCGAGTGCTTGTTGCCAACAGCTTCTTTACTTTATTTACACTTGTTGCCACGCCGGGTTAACTGCGGATTAAGTGCAGCACTTGCCGGTGTCGAGTTTATGAATGTCGTCTGCAGCCTGACAACATATTTAAGCAGATCCTGCGATCGGGCGCCGGCTGCGGATCGGCAGAGCACAGCCACAGCCACAGTTGAATGCAACAATGTTAGCCAAATGAACTCGGCGTGCAACGCTGCGTATACGCAATGCAGTCGAGTGACTGCTCTGTTTGTGCTTTGTTAGTGCCCGCTGTTGCTGTCATTTTGTTGATAAGCAGATGATGCCAGAGTCCACACACACACACACACACACACACACACACAGACACAGAGATACTAATACACACACAGACACAAGCCAAATAAAAGGAGCCCAAGTTGACAATTATTTAGCTGCGTGTGCGTCTATGTATCCCAGTGTTTGCCTATGGTTGTTTATGTACCATCAGTTGAATGCACCTAGTTAGAGTCGGACCTGCCCCCCGCTCTGTGCTCTGCTGTGCTGGCCCGTAATGCGGGCCATCTATATGCGAGCAAACGTTTGCCATTGCCGTTCGACGTTCGACGTTCGCCGTTCGCCTCTGTTTATATTTGCATACATTTGCAGCGATGCATGTGTGAGTGCGTGAGCGCTCGATTGGGTCGGGGAGCAGGAGCCGCCTGTGCAGGGCATCCCTGGCAACACTGTGCTCAATGTCGGCGAAGTCAGGCTGGAGTCCAAATGAACTCGGCGTAGGCAGCCCCAGCTTGGCCATAGACTCGCATATCACATTCGTGTATAAGGCCTCTAGCTTAGCAGGTCTGTGGGGCTTATTAAGTGCGGTAAATGCCTTTTTCGGGGCCTCTTTAATGTCGGGTCTATCCAACTATTTATGTCGCTTGTCATGTTACCGACTCCTACAACTCATGCTCGCACCTTCGGGCTCCCTGCCCCACCCCACCCCTCCTCCAGCCCGCTTGCCTGCAGCGGCTAATGCGGCTGTTGTTTGTCAAACTTTTGCGCTAGCCCCGCCCCCTGCGGGCGTGGAGATTTATTTAGTCCGAGTGTACGGCCACAAAACTTGGATTTACTTCGACACAATTGTCAGCTTAGTCACGTTTCATGTTTCTCTCTCTCGGCGCGCGTCTGTGTATATGTCTGGGATTTGCACAAGGCGCAAGGCACACACACACACACTCACACACACACATAGCGAAGAGTAAGTACGTTAATACTAAACACAACATATAAAGGTAAAAAGCCAAAGGCACGCGATGCGCATATTTTAGGTAAAAGTTGGTTTTTTGTTTTCTGTTTGCTTTAGTTGGGGTTTTGTACGCTAGTTAGTTTCTAA